AAAAATAAATCAAATGTGAAGTGTCACGCAGGGAATTGTGGGAATGTCAATTTACGGTTTTTCACTGTAAATATACAATGAGTTGTTGTTTTTCACTTTCAAAAACTGTAAATTTATTAGTATTTTACAGTAAAATTACATTAAATGTACCGTTAGATCTATCACAGTTATTTACCGTATATAGTAAGGAAACTTTCTGTTAACCAATTAACAGTTTTGCACTGTAGCATTTTTACAGTCTTTTACCGTCAAAATCCCGATCATTTTTTACAGTGTAATATCATAATGGCTCTGAAGAGCTCAAATTCTGCTGGAGAAGATGAAATTAGTAACAAAATATTAAAAGGTATTGCGAATGAAATAATTGAACCACTTTCACATTGCATTAATCTCTCACTGCTTACAGGAATTGTCCCCAGAATGACAAAAATTGCAAAAATAATTCCGATTTACAAAACTGGTGACAAAAATGAAATAAAAAATTATCGTCCCATATCCATCTTACCAAGTCTTTCCAAAATACTGGAAAGAGTAGTGTATAATAGATTGATTAATTATCTCAATACATTGAATATACTTAATCCATCCCAGTATGGCTTTAGGAAAAAACATACCACCAGTATGGCAATCCTTGATCTTACTGAAAAGATCAATGATGCCATAGAAAAGGGGGAATATGGTATCGGTATATTCTTAGACCTTTCAAAGGCCTTCGATACTATTGATTTTTCCATATTATTGTATAAATTGCACCATTATGGAATTAGAGGTCAATCTCTTAATTGGTTCAAGAGTTATTTATATCAGAGGCAACAATATGTAACTATACGCGAACAGACTTCAGAAAACAAATATGTTCAATGTGGTGTTCCACAAGGATCCATATTAGGTCCTCTCCTCTTTATTATTTACATTAATGATCTGGAAAACTCATCAAAGATTCTGCATAAAGTAATTTTTGCAGATGACACTAATTTGTTTTTATCACATAAAAATGAACTTGAACTTCAACAATTACTTAACAAAGAGCTTCAAAATGTTGACAGTTGGTTTAAAGTAAATAAATTGTCTATAAATACTAGTAAAACTAACTACATAATATTTTGTTCAAATAAAAAACAACTTAAACTTGATGATTTAAATCTACAGATTAAAATAGAGGGAGAGGAACTACAGAGAGTAAAGACGACTAAATTCTTGGGTGTCTTTATAGATGATCACCTAAACTTTAAACACCATATTGAATACCTTATTAAAAAGCTATCAAAGTATGTTGGTCTGTTCTTTAAGCTTAGATATCTGTTTCCTCGTGCAACATTAATCACTCTTTATAAAACCCTCTTTGAACCTCATTTAAACTACTGCAATATCATATGGTGCAACACTTACTGTACTTACCTAAGAAAGTTAGAAATTTTGCAAAAAAAAATTATTCGTGCCATTTCATGGGCTGATTTTAATGCTCCAACTTGCTCTATGTTTCTTAGGTATGGTATTTTAAGACTAAGTGAACACAATAAATTTCATAATGCATGTACTATGTACCAGGTGGTCAATGGACTAAATGGTAGGCTGTGTGAACTTGTTCCTATTCGCTATCCCCGGCACACTTTCCTCACTAGAAATAAGCACATTATTACTGGAAAAAAACGGAGATTAAAAAGCACTGGTATGAGTGTGGTGTGCCGGGGACCGCGGATTTGGAACGACCTGGATGAAAACTTAAAAAATTCAAGTTCTTTTCTTTATTTTAAACAAAAGCTCAAGAAACAATTATTGAGTCTGTATTCATTTTCTTGAAGTATGTATTATCTCTTACTTTGTATGTATGTCAGTATTAATTTTATAATCTCATGGTACACTGTGAAGAAAAACTGTACTTGTGAAATGGGATCCCCTATTATTTGTTGTACGAATGTTGTATGAAATATTTTCTATGTATGGTCACACATCTGCGATCGTTTTTTTTTTTGTTTGTTCTTGTTTGTTTTTTACTTTTTTTACTTTGATTGTTATGGCCCCCGAGTATAAGCTTTAGAGCTTCTTTGGGGACCAGTTCACATACTTGATCATCTTCTTTGTTCTTGGCATTAGTATGTATGTGAATAAAGATGTCTCTCTCTCTCAAAAAAAAAAAAACCCAAAATATCAAGGCAATGTGCAAAATTTCACGCTAAGCCTTTTCCCATGTAAAACCATTATAAATAAAGCGCTTAACGTGAAATTTAGCGCATTGCCTTCATATCTGCTTGCCTTCATGCATTATCAATAAGGTGTATGAATTTGATATTTTAATATCATCACTGTCTTTATATAGGCTATTAAGTCACGTTAAGCATTTTTTTAATGGCTATATGGGGGAGAAATTGCTTACACTCTTAAACATAAAGGTTCTTTATGGCATCGATGGTTTCTTGAAGAACTTTTAACATTTATGGAACGTTTCCATTCCACAATAGGTTCTTAACAGTGGAAAAAGGTTCTTTAGATTTTAAAAAAGTTCTTTACACAGAGGAAATAAATGGTTATTTAATGTCGGCTCACTGTAAAAACAACCTTTTGTAATTTTTATTTTTAGGAGTGTAACGTAAAAGAAAATTGTCTGCACTTGGATTACGATGCCATTGTCTTAGCAGTAGATAGACCTATTGTTTTTGACATGAGAAATTAGTTTTGACTGGTTATTGTTTTAGAACATTAAGCCACTTAACCGTTTGAGAATGTCACCCCATGCATTCGATCCAAAACCAGTTTGATCTTGTCTGGCTAGTTTTAGGAGGGCACGGCCGTCAAAGACGTTTAAAAAAACAACTAAAAAACACTTTCAGTGTGATTCGTTTGAAGGTAAAAATCTTTTTCATCCTCCGTTTCAGGAGTTTTAAAGTGGGATTCGGCAGGTGGGGGAACCCTCAAATTTTTTTTTTAGGTGCAACAGGGAAAAATGACTCACAGTGGGACAACATATTGAGTATCGTGGTATAGCAATACTTTTTGGGACAAGAGTCACTGTGGCACCAACTATCACAACACAATACTTATTTACTTGATATTTTAATGGTTTTATTTTGGTCCATCTACACTGATATGATGACGATACTATGTTAAAATTGCTGAACACCGGGACAAAAATTTAAATCGTATGTTGGCTAGTAATCGTGTTCGGAATAAATCCTCTTATTATTTGTATCTTCATTTTCTTCATCGTCCTTTGGGAACCAAGCGTTAAAATAATGCTGTATTTCATGGAATTTGTCATGATTCTTTGTGTTTTCACCCTCTGCAGCCTCATATGAGGACATGAATGCATGAACTTCAGCTCCAGAGCCATTCTGAGTCACTTCATCAGCATTTTACCACTTCATTTGAGAAAAACTATCATCATAGCATAAACACACAGAGGGCCCTATTTTAACGATCTGAAACGCAAGTGTCAAAGCGCAAAGCGCAAGTAACTTTGTGGGCGGATCCCGGCGCTGTTGCTATTTTCCCGGCGGGATAAATGCCTCTTGCGCCTGGCGCAAATCTAAAAGAGGTTGGTCTGAAGTAGCTTCATTATTCATAGGTGTGGTTTGGGCGTAACGTGGAATAAACCAATCAGAGCGTCATCTCACATTCCCTTTAAGAGCAGGTGCGCATGTTGCATGGCGGATTGCTATTATAACGGCGGATTCACCAGGCGCGCGCCAGGAGCGGTTCACAGCCGAGGAGACCGACGTTCTTGTCAGGACCGTGAAAGACAGAGAAGTGACGTTGTATTGCGTGTTTTGCGTGCACCTGTAAACTATGGCATAAACCCTCATGCAGTAACACCCTCAGACGGCACTGTTTATTGACTGTCTGAAGTAGAATGCATGCAGAAATAACAAGAAATTCAACGTTCAAATCAGACTTATCTATCTATCTATCTATCTATCTATCTATCTATCTATCTATCTATCTATCTATCTATCTATCTATCTATCTATCTATCTATATATCTATCTATCGTGGGTGGGTTTCTCCCATCCCCATACAAATCAGCGTCGGTTAAACAGGCGTGGGAGGAAAAAAAACTAAATTTTCATGGACACCACAATGATTTCCCTCATGTGTTAATATTTTTCCTTGTTATAATGTATGATTTGCAAAAATAAAAACTGCTGCATCTGTGTTGATGAGATAATCAAAGTGTATGCGCGTTGTGCACCCGCTACATTATGGCCAAGCATGCGCGCTTAAAATAGCATAATGAACAACGCGCAACGCGCCACTGACTTTAGACTAGGTTTTTTCTGGTCAGTGGCGCAATTGTTTTATAGAACAGCAAAATAGCATGAGGGAAAGTTTGCGCCGGAACACGCCTCCTCTTTGCGCTGAACCGCCCCGGGGAGCGCAAGTGTATTTCTTAGTTAACCGACGTGCGTCTGTGGAGGGAAAAGTCCGCTTTGCGCGGGTGCAAAATAGGAATGATACATGCGTCAGTGTACAAAGTCATTTGCGCCGAGTGCAAGATAGAGCCCAGAATCTCCAAAGTCTTCATAGCAACCTGTCCAACAGTACAATAATAATTATTAAAATAATTTTTAAGGAATAATCAAATTCTCTTTCATGTTGTGCAGCACTTTGTTTGACAATTTTTTTCATATGATTAAAAGATACATTAAATTAATGTTTTATGCCTTCATTTGATAGAAATGTTTTTTTAAATTAATTTGTTTTTATGAATTCAATTAATTAGACATGCTTTTTGATTATTACAAATTTTATCAAACCATTATCTTAAAACAGAAATCGTAAAACAGAAAAGACAGAATTTAAAAAAAAAAAAAAAAAAAATGTATTTCATAGGGCCCTAAACATGTCATTTTTTGTTAAACTTTTAATAAATTGTTGTTAAATGATTTCAATTAATTAGACATGCTTTTTGATTACTAAAATTTAATTTAACCATTAAAATGAAATCCAGAAAAATTACAATGGAACAAACAGAATTTGATGAAAACGTTCCATAGGCCCTTCACCACAGCTCTTTTCAGATTCAGATCTACACTCTGCAAATGAATTTAGTTTTTCTGGAGCAGTGGCTGTCATTTAGTTTCCCAGTATATATAAATTCCCCACAATCCTCTCCTTCCTCTCCCAGTCCGTGTTCTTTCCAGTCATCCGGCTGCCCGGGAGCCCAGCGTCTGTGGATAATGACAACCAACAAATGTCATATCAGCATCTGCATATATTATAATTTTTCTGGCATCCCATCTGATCTAAAGTAAATTTTTTATATGCATTTAATCCCAACGCCACTACCAACAATAAATATTTAAACGGATTACATTTTTGTTTAATGCAAGATGCATTTTCTTGACAAGCAAAAGCTTGAAGTACATTATCTTGAAGTATAACTGCCTCCTTTCCTATTCATGATTATAATGGGCAATAATTGGAAAAGAGTAGCGTGAGGCTTCCGATGTCCGGCTTTACCTTTATAAACAGGTAAATGCAGTCTGTTATGCAGCTCGATATTGCAAACTGGTATTTGTAATCACATTATTTTAATTATCATAATCATAAACACATTGGTTTCTAGTTCAAATAGTTGTACCATGTACAGCACTGTTTTTCTTTTTAAGAACATAACCAAACATGTCAGGGGTTTATAAAAAGAAAAAGAAAAAAAAAAATACAGAAAAACACTGTATAAAGTTCTTGATTTTAGATATTGTTTCCAAATATATTTTATTTAAATTGTTAATATATGCATTTTTTCAAACCCCTTGACTTTATGAATAAAACGAGCAAATTTAATAATTAAATAAAAACATTTTTATCATTATCCATCCAATGAGAATCACCAAAACATCACATCAGCATCTACAAGATTAAAGGGGCTATATGTAAGAATTTTCATGTATTTATTGCAATTATTGATGCAAACATCTCCACATCGCTATGATCAGATGCTTTCTGAACTGCTGTTTTCTCACCGCTGTCATTTTTTGTGTGTGTGTTTCTTTTGTTATTAAGAGGAAAGAGTGCATCACATTTTCACAACATATTCATCTAAACGTCGCTCTCAGCAGTGGATGGCGTCGGGATGTTCGTTAACAGTAAAACGCTGCAAAGGTATTCCCAACTTCTTTTTACTTTTAAGCAAAAAATGGCAAATAACTTGGCCGTGAGAATATTAGGTCTTGAATAACGTTCAGACTCTTGTGTGTTACGCGAGCACGAGTGCGAGAACAAGCAATCAGTGCTGCAGTTCACTTAACGGCCACCGGCGTCGCTAATGACAAGAGTTGCTCCATTCTACATATAACACCTTTAATCTTAATTTCTTTTTTGATATTTTGTTAATTTATTATTTTTATTTTTCAAATCTTTCCAAAAACTGTGTACAAAATAAATGTAAAGGTGCCTGATGAAGACCTGATGGTCGTAACGTTGTGCTATTAATAAATTCATTTGGAGGAGCTATTTTCAGTGTGCAGACTTCACGCTTCTTTTTTTTTCCGTTTATATATATCCCAGCCACCGCACTAGCCATTATTTTTTAATCGAAGGAGATGTAAACGTGTTATCCATGCTTTAATGGCAAGGAAAGACCCTTATACTTGTGAGCGGCTCATATGAGGAGTTTCTGGGTGTTTCTCCTCATTTCTGCTTCGAGGTCTTGATTGTGGCGTTTCTTTGAGGTTTAGAATCGTCTCGGTTACGGATGTAACCCTCGTTCCCTGAGTAGGGAACGGAGACGTTACGTCGGATGACGGAGAATGGGGGTTTCGCTAGAAAGCCAGTCCTCTTCGAGTATTAAAAAATGAGCCAATGGCAAAGAAATGCCATGGGTCTGCGGAATTTGCATAATGTATCTCCGCCTCACCGCGTGAGTATTTAAGGAGAGAAACCTGCAACAGCAGATCATGTCTTCGCTGAGGAGCCGAGACTGAACTCAGGCGTCTACCCAGCGGTACAGCGGAAGTGGTAGGGAGACGTAACGTCTCCGTTCCCTACTCAGGGAACGAGGGTTACATCCGTAACTGAGACGTTCCCTTTCGTAGTCACTCCGAGTTACGTCGGATGACGGAGAATGGGGGTCCCCGTGTAATCACGCCACCTTCACAGCTGTCTTCCAGTGCCCTGCGAAGTCTGACCTCCCTGTCGTGATATAGGCACGGACGAAGGAGTCCTACTTAACACAGGAATACCAAGGTACACTGGGAAGCATATCTCAGGGGAGATATGCCGCAGCATGCCTACCCGTAGGGAGGACTTAAGATACACATATGGCCCGAGGGGGCTACATATGGAGGAACACTGGAGTGACCAGCCCGTGGGGTGGCATCTACTTTCAACTCCAGGAGTGGCAAGGTGGCTTGCCGAGGGAAAGACACATGCTCAAAGAGGTTTACAGTGGAAATACACATGTGGGGGTTGCTCAGAGGAGGAACCATGCACACGGAGGCACCTAGCCGGCGCACAGGCAATAGACACTGGCGCCAGCGTCAACAGCGCTGGAGGAACTCAGGGCTTCAGAGAGGAAGGCTCACCTGAGGAAATATCGCACGTATCCAGTCCGTGGAGTGGAATGGCGAGCAAGCGAAGACACCTGAGTGGGTCCAGTACTAGCTAACTGAAGCGAGTACACGAGAGGACACAGGCTCCACTCGGAGATTATAAAATCTGGCGAATGTGTTGGGTGTCGCCCAGCCTGCAGCTCTACAGATGTCTGCCAGCGAGGCGCCATGCGCTAGAGCCCAAGAGGAAGCCACACTCCGGGTGGAGTGCGCTGTCACACCAAGGGGGCACGGTCGGCCTTGCTGTTGGTAAGCCAAAGCAATGGCGTCCACTAACCAGTGAGACAACCTCTGCTTTGAGAGAGCCTTTCCCTTCAGTCTCCCACCATAACAGACAAAGAGCTGGTCTGAGGTCCTGAAACACTGCGTCCTGTCTACGTAAGCACGGAGGGCACGTACTGGACAGAGCAGTGCCAAGGCTGGGTCTGCCTCCTCCAGGGGCAGCGCTTGCAGGTTCACCACCTGGTCCCGGAAGGGAGTGGTGGGAACCTTGGGCACATATCCAGGCCAGGGTCTCAGGATCACGTGAGAGTATGCCGGCCCGAATTCCAGGCACGCTTCGTCAACGGAGAATGCGTGCAGGTCCCCTACCCTCTTGATGGAGGCCAGTGCAACCAGGAGCGCTGTCTTCATTGACAGGAACTTAAGCTCAGCTGATTGCAGAGGCTCAAAGGGAGCCCTCTGCAGGGCATTTAACACCACTGAGAGGTCCCAAGAGGGAACGAGAGGAGGGCGAGGAGGATTCAGTCTCCTCGCTCCTCTCAGGAACCTGATGATCAGGTCGTGCTTTCCCAGAGACTTACCTTCAACTGCATCGTGATATGCGGCGATAGCGGCCACATACACCTTCAGGGTGGAGGGAGACAGCCTTTGCTCCAACCCGTCTTGCAGGAAGGAAAGCACGACACTGATCGAGCATCTCCTGGGGTCTTCTCGGCGAGAAGAGCACCAGTTGACGAAGAGGTTCCACTTCAACGCATAGACATGTCTCGTGAACGATGCTCTAGCGGAAGTGATGGTAGCCGCCACCGCTGGTGGCAGGGTACTCAAACCTGCCTCGTCCCGTCCAGGAGCCACACGTGGAGTCTCCAAAGATCGGGACGAGGGTGCCATAGGGTGCCCCGTCTCTGAGAAAGCAGGTCCTTCCTTAGAGGAATTGGCCAAGGAGGTGCTGTCGCGAGGAGTATCAGTTCGGAGAACCAGGTCTTGGTGGGCCAGTATGGGGCGACCAAAATGACCTGCTCCTCGTCCTCCTTGATCTTGCACAGAGTACGTGTGAGAAGGCTCACTGGGGGAAACGCATACTTGCGTAGGCCCTGCGGCCAGCTGTGCGCCAGTGCATCCGTGCCGAGCGTGCCCTCGGTCAGGGAGTAATACAGGACGCAATGGGATGAGTCGTGGGAGGCAAACAGATCTATCTGTGCGTCCCCGATCTGGTCCCATATCAGCTGGACCGACTGGGGATGGAGTCGCCATTCGCCAGAGGTTGGCCGGAGCCGAGACAGCTCGTCGGCTGCAAGGTTCCGCACTCCTGGAATGTAAATAGCACGAAGGGACCTCAGGTGCTTCTGACTCCATAAGAGGAGGTGGCGTGCGAGTTGCGACATACGGCGAGAGCGTAGACCACCCTGACGGTTGATGTACACTACAGTCGCGGTATTGTCCGAGCGGACAAGTACGTGTTGACCCAGGAGCAACGCGTGGAAGCGGTGCAGGGCAAGGCGTACTGCCAGCAACTCGAGGCAATTGACATGCATGAGGCGCTGGGGTCCTGTCCAGGAGCCCGCGGCTGCATGTCCATTGCACATGGCGCCCCAGCCCGTGGCAGAGGCATCTGTGGAGACAACAACATGCCTGGAAACTCGTTCTAGGGGAACTCCGGCCCGTAGAAAGCTGAGGTTCCGCCACGGGGTGAAGGTCTGACGGCAGGTCGGAGTTATTGGAACTCTGAGCGTACCGTGATGCCATGCCCACCTCGGGACCCGATCGCGAAGCCACAGCTGAAGCGGTCTCATATGAAGCAATCCGAGTGGCGTTGCCGCGGCTGCGGATGCCATATGCCCCAGGAGCCTCTGAAAAAGTTTCAATGGGACCGCACTCTTGCCCTCTAACTGTCGAAGACAAGTCAGCAGTGAGTGTGCGCGCTCGCTCGTAAGCTGCGCGGACATGGCGACCGAGTCTATCTCTATACCGAGAAAAGAGATCCTCTGCACGGGGCAAAGTTTGCTCTTCTCCCAGTTGACCCGAAGGCCCAGACGGGCTAGGTGCCGGAGCACAAGGTCTCTGTGTTCGCAAACCTGATCTCGAGAGTGAGCTAATATTAGCCAGTCGTCGAGATAATTCAGGATGCGAACCCCGTGTTCGCGTAGGGGAACAAGGGCTGCCTCGACGACCTTCGTAAAGAGGCGAGGAGACAGAGCCAACCCGAATGGGAGAACCGCGTACTGGTATGCCTGCCCCTCGAAAGCAAACCGAAGAAACGGTCTGTGTCGAGGTAAAATGGAGACATGAAAGTAGGCGTCCTTCAGGTCTATCGCTGCAAACCAATCCTGTGGCCGCACACATTCGAAAATGCGTTTGGCCGTGAGCATCTTGAACGGCAGCCTGTGAAGGGAGCGGTTCAAGACGCGCAAGTCCAGGATTGGCCGTAACCCACCGGTTTTCTTGGGGACAATGAAGTAGGGGCTGTAGAACCCTGACCTCATCTCGGCTGGAGGGACAGCCTCAATTGCACCCTTCGCCAGCAGGGTAGCAACCTCCGCTCTCATGATCGGGGCATTGCCACCGACCATAGTAAAGCGGACTCCCCTGAAGCGGGGAGGAGACCGTGCGAACTGAATCGCATAGCCGAGCCTGATAGTTCGGGCGACCCAACGGGACAGATTGGGGAGCTCTAACCAAGCCCCCAAAAACTGATCCAGTGGAATCATCCGAGCCACAGGCGTCCCCCCGGAGGGGCAGCGAAGCGGAGTGACCGGTACAGGCAAGGGTGGCATAGCGGCCCTGAGCGTGTGCACAGCCAAGCTCCGTGCCCTGACAGAGGAGACCAGGGAAGGACCAGTGTTCCACGGGGGTCTGCTCTGCCAGGGGTCTGGCGATAGAGGGGGATGAGAGCGGTGTGGTCCGGGGACGGCACGCACTGTCATCCTCGCCCTCAGGGACAGAGGAGGACGAGAGTGGCGAGGCACGGGGGCGTCGCGCACTGCCATCCTGCTCTGTGTGCTCAGTGGTGGTGTCAGATCTTTCTTTAACCACAATAGGGTGCTGCCCACCCGTGGGTGAGCAGCGGGGAGTGGAGAACAAAAGATTCTCCCCCGGCCCTCCACCGGGGGAAGGAGGGGGCCTGCTACCGCCTCCTGGGAAAGATCCGATGCCATCACTGAGCAGCCCGTCTCAGGAACGCCGCTTAGCCTGGCGTTTAGCGGGGCGCGGGGCCTGAGGGGGCTGGGGCGCCTTCCTGCGGCTTCCTCCACGACGCGGCCCGGGTGAAGGCTGCTGCTGGGGCCGTGCGGGAGGGGCGGGAGCCACAGGAGGGCGCCCTCGGCGGCGAGCAGGCTGAGGCGTCTGTGCCGACGGCTGGGTGGAGGCAGCAGCTGGCCGTCGGGGCAGAATATGTTTAATCGCCTCAGACTGCTTCTGTGCGGTTGAAAACTGCTGGGCGAAGTCTTCAACTGCTCCGCCGAAGAGGCCGGCCTGGGATATGGGGGCGTCGAGCAGACGAGTCCGCTCGGTGTCCCGCATATCGGCCAGGTTAAGCCAAAGGTGACGCTCCTGGACCACGTTAGTGGCCATCACCTGACCCAGGGAGCGTGAGGCCACTTTCGTCGCCCGGAGAGCGAGGTCAGTGGCGGCACGCAGTTCGTCGAACGTCCCTGGGTCAGTCCTGCCCTCGTGCATGTCTCTGAGCAGCTGGGCCTGGTAGACCTGCAAGGTGCTCATAGCATGCAGAGCAGCAGCCGCCTGTCCTGCAGCTCTGTGAGACCTCGCCACCATAGATGACGAGAATCTACAGGCCTTGGACGGGTGCTTAGGATTACCACGAGAGAAGGCGCTCTGAGGACACAGTTGCATCGCAACAGAGCGCTCCACCGGGGGAATCCCAGTGTACCCATGGGCAACTTGCTTTATCGAGGGGAGGAAAGGCGGAGAAAGCTGACGAGCGTTCACGGGAGGTCAAAGGAGCCTTCCATGATCTCGACAGCTCCTCATGCAGCTCCAGGAAGAAAGGAATTGGGGTTGGCTGAGGCCCTGAGGCGGCAGCCGCACCCAAAAACCAATCGTCCAGCCGCGAGCGCTCGGGGCAGGGCGGAGGGTTCCACTCTAGCCCGATGCTCACGGCTGCCCGGGACAGCTGTCATCTCAGCTGGGATCCGACACGGGCAACGCTGGGACTCCCGAGGGAGGCAACGCAGCCGCATCCTCACTTCCCGGAGAATCGAGCCCACCTTGTGATGCCGCGATCGACATCGCGTCCTCCTCTGGAGCGCCGAATGAAACACGCGGAGCTTCCGAAGAAGCGCCCGCCTGAATCACCGCGGCACTCGCGGGTTGCAACACAGCGGCGGGGGCGTGGTCCGAGGACGCATCGTCGGATTGTTCCACACCGTTACCCTCAGATCACCCTGTCCCCCAGCCGAACTACCACCTCTCGTGGAGGAAGCAGGACGGGTGGTGGACGCGGGGACTCTCACTGATAGATCATTGAGTCTCAATCTAAGTGTTGCGATGGTCATGTTCCCACAGAAGGAACATGAGTCATCCACGAGCGCTGCTTCAGCGTGCTCAAAGCCCAGACACACAAAACAGCGCTCGTGCCCATCAGAAGATGACAGATATCGACCGCAACCAGAAGAACACGGGCGAGACATCTTTAAAAAGACGTGCCACGTGCAGCTCTTTTAGGAGAGGAAAACTCTGCAATGCTGAGGCGACCAGGGAGAAAACACAAAGTCTGGCAGACCACTGCACAGATCGCAGGCAATGTGAAGACTCGCTGGGTACCGCCGTCACACCAACACTGGAGAGTTCGCTCGTCTCGAAGAGGTGAGTCACTTGTAAACTCAGGTCTTGTGGCTGTGGAGTGAAGAGGTTCTCTTGGCTCCGAAGCGAAAACATGATCTGCTGTTGCAGGTGTCTCTCCTTAAATACTCACGCGGATAGGCGGAGATACATTATGCAAATTCCGCAGACCCATGGCATTTCTTTGCCATTGGCTTGTTTTTTATTACTCGAAGAGGACTGGCTTTCTAGCGAAACCCCCATTCTCCGTCATCCGACGTAACTCGGAGTGACTACGAAAGGGAACCAGTATTCCTGTAATTTTTTTGTCTTTTATGAATTTAATAAAGATCTCTGTCTCGTATTCTGTCCAAACACACCGCGTCATCTACGTCAGGCGACTGTAAATGCGCAAAAACTGTTTCCATTACAGTTTTGCGAAATATTCCTTTTTCGAATTGCCTGAAAAACCTCCGAATGCGAGCATAAAGAACATACTTTTTTAGCAGTCACAACTCACAAAGTATTTTCCTATTCAAAATAAATACCTACTCAAGAGAGTATGTGATTTTGGACGCAGTAATCAACCTTGAGCGGCTATTGAATGAATCGGAAGTCTCACACTTTCACAGAAAATATCTAATTTACGCCTTACAAAATCAAGTGGATATTAGGTCATATTTAGGGATAAACATGTAAATGTAATGCCATCTTGAGGCCAAAGTTTGGGACTAAACCTCTAAAATGTATATGATTCAACTGCTTGCTAAGAAATGTTTTTGTGAATCAAAGTGAATAATGCATGAATCGGCTCACTCTTTGTTCATTGTGTAAGGATTGTCATCCGCCCATCTCCACTGGCCTGTGTCCTGATCTGTTAGACCGACCCAGTAGTGCTCGGGTATGGTATGTTTGTTTAGAAATGCCTATAGGGGGAAGATAGAAACTGATTTAAAAAAAAGAAAAGAAATTAAAATCAAAATGCTATGTTATGCGCATCCATGAACGTTACACACCCACTCCTCGTCGTCCTCTTCTATTTTGAGGAGTAACGCCCCCTGTGCTTTGCAGTAATCTCGTGCCCCAGTCCAGCTGAGTTTATTACTGGAGAACAAGAAACAGCTGCTTTTGAACAATATCCAGCCAGATTTACAGGTTACAGGGACGTCTGCGTGAGAGAGAGAGAGAGAGAGAGAGAGAGAGAGAGAGAGAGAGAGAGAGAGAGAGAGAGAGAGAGAGAGAGAGAGAGAGAGAGAGAGAGAGAGAGAGAGAGAGAGAGAGAGAGAGAGAGAGAGAGAGAGAGAGAGAGAGAGAGAGAGAGAGAGAGAGAGAGAGAGAAGATGCAAAATAAGAGCAGATTTAAAGGGTCAGTTCACCCAAAAATAAAAGGTCAGTCATTAAAAACTCACACTCATGTCATTCCAAACCCATAAGACTTTCATTCATCTTCAGAACATAAATGAAGTTTTTTTTAATGAAATCTGAAACTTTCTGTCCCTACATTGACAGTCTATGCAACTCCCACTTTCAAGGCCCAGAAAGGTAGTAAAGACATCATTAAATGAATTAGGGATGCACGATATATCGGCCACCATATCAGTATTGGCCGATATATGATCATTTATAATGTTATCGTTATCGTCCTGATAAGAAAATTTGGCCGATATATTAAAGCCTATAAATAATGTATTATTCCTTCAGCTGAGACATTTCAGATGCGCACTGTTCAACATGATGATTTTGAATAGCTTGAAATATGATTAAAATCGCTTAAAAAAAGGAAAATACAGTTAAGTGCAACACAAGTCTGTCATATCGGCAACATAAAATTGTAATGAGAACATCATTATAATTGTGTGCTTGGGACATGGATTTCAATGGTGAGACTTTTGTATTCAGGCTCTCAAAATGTATATAAAAATTTGGATTTAGATTTATCAGACAATATATCAGTTATCGGCTTTCAAATACAACCCGAATTCCGGAAAAGTTGGGACGTTTTTTAAATTTGAATAAAATGAAAACTATAAGACTTTCAAATCACATGAGCCAATATTTTTTTCACAATAGAACATAGATAACATAACAAATGTTTAAACGGAGAAATTTTACACTTTTATCCACTAAATGAGCTCATTTCAAATTTGATGCCTGCTACAGGTCTCAAAATAGTTGGGACGGGGGCAACAAATGGTTGAAAAAGCAAAAAATTTAGAAAGGATTCAACATCTAGCAACTAATTAAGTAATTTGATATCAGGTCTGTAACATGATTAGCTATAAAAGGGATGTCTTAGAGAGGTAGAGTCTCTCAGAAGTAAAGATGGGCAGAGGCTCTCCAATCTGTGAATGAGTGCATAAAAAGATTGTGGAACACTTTAAAAACAATGTTCCTCAACGTCAAATTGCAAAGGCTTTGCAAATCTCATCATCTACAGTGCACAACATCATCAAAAGATTCAGAGAAACTGGAGAAATCTCTGTGCGTAAGTGACAAGGCCGAAGACCTTTATTGGATGACCGTGGTCTTCGGGCCCTCAGACGACACTGCATCACTCATCGGCATGATTGTGTGAATGACATTACTAAATGGGCCCAGGAATACTTCCAGAAACCACTGTCGGTAAACACAATCCGCCGTGCCATCTACAGATGCCAACTAAAGCTCTATCATGCAAAAAGGAAGCCATATGTGAACATGGTCCAGAAGCGGCGTCGTGTCCTGTGGGCCAAGGCTCATTTAAAGGTGCTCTATGTAACTTTTAGCGGCCTCTAGTGGTGATGTTTCAGATTGCAACCAAATTTTACAAGAGCGCTGGTGCTCAAACTCATAGACAATACCGTCTATTACGCAAATACCTCGGCGAATACTAGACGGATTCGGCGAGCACCGAGCTCGTTGGGACCATCTAGTCGAGCTGAAAAGAACCATATAAGTTCCATAGTTTTTGGTGGTGTTTTCGCAGAGATATTAGCAGAAAACCATCGGGCGCGCTGCAAAATTGCGTACGCCGGTGACGTCACGATCTCAGAAGAAAATCGCTCGTATCTCTGGAACGCAAAGACCCAGAGAGCTCAAATTCGGGGGAGGAGGTCCCAGGGGAACCCTTGCCCGAACGCTAGAGTGGCGGGCCTCGGGGATGCCCCCTACCGGATCGCCGTTCGCTGGGACCCCCGATTTCGAACGGCTATAACTCGGGGAGCCGGGCGAGTTGGACCTCGGGGGTGGGCTCGTTCGAAAGGCCCCGTCCAGCACTACGAACGATTAGAGTCTTGGGAATATTGATCAAAGATTGACTGAGATATAAGCCGAAAAACGTGCGCCTTTAACCGGACGTAACTCCCTGACCGTCTACAATAGACTGTATATAAGGAGAGAGGCTCGGGAGCGCGCATGCACGTCACATCCGTTGGATTTCGCGGTAAATCCGACCCGGAGACTTCACATAGAAATAGGAATACTGGCCGTCAGAGGTAATAGCAAAACTTCACATTTGACATTCTTGTTGGAAATCACGGACGCCTTGTCCTCCGGGCAAAAGAAGAGGGAGACCTTCCATCGTGTTATCAGCGTTTAGTTCAAAAGCCAGCATCTCTGATGGTATGGGGGTGCATAAGTGCATACGGTATGGGCAGCTTGCATGTTTTGGAAGGCACTATGAATGCTGAAAGCTATATAAAGGTTTTAGAGCAACATATGCTCCCCTCCAGACGACATCTATTTCAGGGAAGGCCTTGTGTATTTCAGCAGGACAATGCAAAACCACATACTGCAGCTATTACAACTGCATGGCTACATCGTAGAAGAGTCCGGGTGTTGAATTGGCTTGCCTGCAGTCCAGATCTTTCACCTATAGAGAACATTTGGCGCATCATTAAACGACAAATGCGTTGCAAAGACGACCACGAACACTTCAGCAGCTGGAAACCTATATAAGGCAAGAATGGGACCAAATTCCAACACCAAAACTCCAGACACTCATAAACTCGATGCCCAGACGTCTTCAAACTGTTTTGAAAAGAAGAGGAGATGTTACACCATGGTAAACGTGCCCCCGTCCCAACTATTTTGAGACCTGTAGCAGGCATCAAATTTGAAATGAGCTCATTTATTGGATAAAAGTGTAAATTTCCTCAGTTTAAACATTTGTTATGTTATCTATGTTCTATTGTGAATAAAATATTGGCTCATGTGATTTGAAAGTCTTATAGTTTTCATTTTATTCAAATTTAAAAAACGTCCCAACTTTTCCGGAATTCGGGTTGTATAAAGAATTATCGGCCAAAATGTGCATATCGGCACATCCCTAAAATTAATCCATGTGACTCCAGTGGTTTAACCTCAATTTGATGAATCGACACGAGGGCTTTGTTTGCTAAAAAAAAAACAGTTTACCGCTTTATTAACAAAATATTTATCTCCATGCACACATGCACGCAACAACATCTGCTCTCGTCAACAACACGCATGTGTTGTGGTGCTCTCATGCGTTCCAAAGAATGAAAGTGTTACAGGTTTAGAACGACATGAGGGTAATTAATGACAAGATTGTCATTTTGGGGTTAACTTTCCCTTTAACCACATAAAGTAGCGCTACACTCTTAAATATAAAGGCTCTGTATAGACATCTAAGGTTCTACAAAGAACCTTTAACATGCATGGAATCTTTCCATTCCACAAGAGGTTCTTCATAGTGTGTTTTACAAATGGTTTACAAACGGTCTTTCAGTTTTTCCTTCACATTTTCCAGAATGTTCACTGAAGGGTTCTTTGAGGAACTAAAAATATTTCTTCTATGGAATCGCTGTGAAAACCTTCTTTTGGAAGCTTTATTGTTAAGAGTGTGGATGCAGTACCTGCTGTTTTGTTTCTCATGTTAGATTTCAGATCCTTCAGAGCGTTCATGACTCTGTCCTCTAGAACACAAGAAAACACACCAGACCTTGTTAGACTTTCTGCAGTCAGTGTCCTGTGAATTTCATTTCAATCCAATTATTTCCAATGTAAAGAATAATGTCAGTATCAGCATGCAGGTCCATGAAATCAACAATTATGATTATATACTGCATTTCTGAAATCATGCCTAACAAAAGATATCAATTCAATAGATTCAGTTATACATTCATAATAAAGTTATTACAATATTGTACTCGACTCACCAGAGATCTGTTGTTTAGAGGACAGCGATGCGACAGATGAAGTGAGATCTGACACTGAACTCTTCAGGACACTCAATGAGCTCGACAGAGACTCTTTAGCACGAGATGAAAGACATAAATATGATATCTCAGCAATGTCGTTTCAGTGATGTTTTTATTGAGACGGGCTTGAAACTTTTTTTTGTATGTTTCTGACTCACCGAAGTCTCGCTGTTTGCTCTGTTGGTCAGACTGTATGGAGGACTTCAAACTGTCCAGCGATCGTTCGGTTTCAGTCTGTTTCTGGTCCTGCGTTTTAACTGGGAGAAAAAAGGTTGTAGTTAATAGAATTATCTTCCTCAATACACAGATAATAAGAAATATGCAAGATTATTAAATGATTTCATCACCTGCATCATTCAGTTTGGATGCCAACGTCGATACTGCAGAATTCAAACTGTCAGTCAAGCTCTTCATATCCTGCTGCCGCACTGTGGGAAAGTATATGTTGCATTTAGATGTTGAATATAGTAGACTTATGTAATAATAGTAGCATGACCTGCTGACTTACTGCTAAATACTTTTGTTTTGGTGTCCTTTGGGGATTTCAAACACCCCACTCCATAATTCATGCCCTGACTGTAGTGTAATGGAGTGCTGTATGTATTGCTCATGTAATGTAGTGTCTACTCACTGACTGATAGTTGAGAAGAAAGCGATGCGACAGATGAAGTGAGATCTGACACTGAACTCTTCAGGACACTCATTGAGCTCGACAGAGACTCTTAAACATGAGACAAAAGCCATAAATACAATATACTGGATCAGCAAGATCACTGAGTGCATGCAATAATGGCTTCGTAAATAAGTCAAGTCAAGTATATTTGTATAGCGCTTTTCACAATACAGATTGTATCAAAGCAGCTTCACAGTATTAAGTTAAAATAATAATAAACGTCCACATTTGGTAATGCTGATCAATAGTATTATTAATTGATTAAATTAAATTGAATATCCCCAACTGAGCAAGCCAATGGCAACAGTGGCAAGGAACCGAAAAACTCCATCAGGTGACCTAATGGAGGAAAAAAAAACCTTGGGAGAACCCAGGCTCAGTCGGGAGCCAGTTCTCCTCTGGCGATTATGAACTAGAGGCCGTATTTAACTGTAAGATTAAAAATATTATATGAATGCCTGGCTAAAGAGATGCGTCTTTAATCTAGTTTTGAACTGGGAGAGCGAGTCTGAGCAACCAACAATATCAGGAAGGCTATTCCAGAGTTTTGGAGCTAAATGTGAAAATGCTCTCCCTCCTTTGGTGGATCTGGATATCCTAGGAATGACCAAAAGCCTTGAATTTAGTGATCTTAAAGAGTGCGGTGGATTATAGGGCGATAGAAGATCCGTTAAATAGACTGGAGCTAAGCCGTTTAGGGCTTTATAAGTCAGTAGCAATACCTTATAATTAATACGGAACTTTATAGGTAACCAATGTAGTGATGATAAAATCGGTGTTATATGATCATATTTTCTTGATCTAGTAAGAACTCTAGTGGCTGCATTTTGGACTAACTGTAGCTTATTTATTGAAGATGCAGGACAACCAGCTAATAAAGCATTACAGTAGTCTAGTCTCAAGGTCATGAATGCATGAACTAACTTTTCTGCATCAGAAACTGATAGCATATTACGTAGCTTAGCAATGTTTCTAAGGTGGAAAAAGGCTGTTTTTGTAAATAAGAAAATATAAAAATGCATAAGCAACATCTGCTAATACCAGTTTTGTCTTAGACAAGAACTTAGCATACTATGGAAGTTTGTTTCCGCCACAGAATAAAACATTTTAAAAGATTATTGCGACTTTTTATCGCACAATTGCGAGTTTATATCTCACAATTCTGTCTTTATTTCTCAGAATTGCGAGATATAAAGTCAGAATTGCGAGATATAAATTTGCAATAAGATATAAACTCGCAATTCTGACTTTTGTTCTCACAATTGCAAGTTTATATCTTGCAATTCTGACTTTATAACACGCAACTGCAAAAAGTCAAAATTGACATCTAAATTAAATGAGTCCTGCTATTACAGTCAGAAATACACAGTTGTGTCCTGGTAGAAAAAGAAAAAAAGAAGCAACAGATGTAGTTCACAGAATGAAGATGATGAAGATCAATGCTAACTTTCATTAATAAACACAAGATAATACATAGATGAAGGCACAGAGAATGATCACATAAACTACTCACACTACAGACGAGAACCGACAATGAACTGAATGAGAAAGGGAGTATAAATACACAGTGAAACTTAATGACAGACAGCTGAACATAATCAGTAACATAGGAGACGAACTGGGAGGTAATTGAGGGGCTGTTTACACGACACTGTTCTCTTACGAGAGTATCTCTCGTACTGCGTAATATCTTACGCTATGGGGAAAACCTCTTTTCCACGAGATATTGAAGCCAAAAATTATCCTTAATTTTTAATCAATGTAAAACGCTTTGCGGCAGCATGCAGACATAGGCGAGGCAGCTCGCGCGCCTATTGGCTGCCCTGCGGCAGAAGCAGCAGCCTATCGAGAACGGATCTGCGTGACGTCATGACCAATGGGGGCACTTCGTGCCCACTTCGTCACGTCCCGCCAGAAAAGGCGTGGTCTCGCCCTATAAAGCCGGTCGACAGGCTGATACAAACTGATTTTCATCTCTTCAGCGAAGCTCACGCATCGCTGGATCCAGACTGAGAAGCCGCGCCGTCGACGCAAGCCTTCAGCGGGACGAGCCCTCGAGTCTGAAGTCGCTGGCCTTCACCTCGCCGCCTTCAGCCGCCGTACCTGCTGCGCTTTACGGCGTCTATATCCTTTACTCTGCTGAGAGTGTTTGTTCGCCGCTGCAACTCACACTTCTCCTAAACTCTAAAAGAGCTGAGTCTTTTTCAAGATGCCTTTCTGTGGCTCGTGCCGAGCCCAACTCAGCGACGGGGACCGCCATGTCATCTGCGTGTCCTGCCTGGGTGAAGATCACGCGGCACTCGCGCTCGCCGACGGCGGATGCCATCATTGCGAGCTGCTGCCCATGGTGACTCTGAGGACTCGCCTGGCATCCTTCTCAGAGCCTGCACTTCTGCCCGCTGTGGTACCGCGCCGCAAGAAGCGCCGTGCTCAGCGCGCCCCCGAGCTCTCTCCTGCCCGCCAAAGCTCGCCGGTTCGCCCGCCAGCTTCGCCGGCATCGCTCGAGTCGCTCACGGATGGACAACGGCCGCCGTCTGCCGCCGCGTCCGCCCTTGAGCTCGACGAACCTACCGGGGCATGTTCTCTCCTGGCATCGGACAGTGAGGATTGGGCGAGCTCTGTGGACCTCCCCCCCGCTACCCGCCAGCCCTCTGGGAGACGAGCCGGCATTGAAGCTGAGCTGATGCGTCTGCTCTCTCAAGCCGTGGATACCATCGGCCTCGGCTGGGAGGCGCCCGCGCCACCACCGTGCAACAGGCTTGATGATCGCTTTCTCGGGAAAGACGAAGCCCCGTCACGGTCGAGATCCACGCCCTTCCTCCCTGAACTTCACGAGGAAGTCGCGAAGTCGTGGAACGCCCCCTTCTCCGCCAGGCTGCGTACCTCTGTCTCTGCTGCATTCTCCACTGTGGACGGTGCGAAAGATAGAGGATACCTTTCTATTCCTCCTGTGGAAGCAGCTGTAGCGTCCCATCTTTGCCCGCCCTCCGCTGGACGGCGCGCTCAGACTGTGCTACCATCTAAAGCCTGCCGAGTGACGTCAGCCATGCACGGACGCGCCTACACCGCCGCCGGGCAAGCAGTTTCAGCGCTGCACACGATGGCTGTCCTGCAGATCTTCCAAGCCGACCTTCTCCAAAAATTGGAAGAGGAAGGACCGGGAGCGATCTGCGTGGTGGACTTAAGAAGCGCTACAGACCTCGCTCTATGCGCTGCAAAAGCCGCCACACAGGCCGTTGGGCGGAATATGGCCTCTCTCACCGTGGCTGAGAGACATTTGTGGCTGACGCTGTCCGAGATGACGGAAGCTGAGCGCTCCGTGTTCCTCGACGCGCCCATTTCACCAGCGGGCCTTTTCGGATCTGCCGTCAAAGATTTCGCGGACAGATTCGTCGATGTGCAGAAAACGTCGCAGGCTATGAAGCACTTCCTGCCGAAGCGCTCGAGCTCCGCTACGGGCCGCCCGAAACAACCGTCTGCCCGAAGCTCTCAGCCGCAGCCTGCACCACCCGCCGCCGCCGCTTCACAGCGCCGCCAGGCCGAGACCAAAGACCACGCTCTCGCTCTGCTGGACGCCGCCCCCCTCAGCGCGGGCCCCGGCCGAGGATCGAGATCAAGCCCGAGGTCTCAAAGTCTTCCTAGCCTTCCTAGGAAAGCGACGGTGTTCAAATCCCGGGTTTTCACCAAAATTTCTCGCTCGTCCAGTTCCAAGCAATGTGACTGTTCCAGTGTATTTTGCAGTGAGCAAGCCAGCTACACAGCCCGCTTGCCTGCACACAAAGGCCGTTTTTACGGCTACCCAGATAAATCCAATAAAGAGTGCATTTTCTGGTGTTCCGGCCACGGCCGATGGTGTTATGAGTGTTGTAAGAATGCCCACGTTCCAGTGCCCATTCCCACACCCAGACACAGCCCGCCACAGTGCAGGGCTAGCACAAATAAAATCGACTCATGTCGATTGTGCAAAAAATGTAGTGAACGCGATGCACGATATATCGGCCACCATATCAGTAATGTTATCGTTATCGTCCTGATAAGAAAATTTGGCCGATATATTAAAGCCTATAAATAATGTATTATTCCTTCAGCTGAGACATTTCAGATGCGCACTGTTCAACATGATGATTTTGAATAGCTTGAAATATTATTAAAATCGCTTAAAAAAAGGAAAATACAGTTAAGTGCAACACAAGTCTGTCATATCGGCTACATAAAATTGTAATGAGAACATCATTATAATTGTGTGCTTGGGACATGGATTTCAATGGTGAGACTTTTGTATTCAGGCTCTCAAAATGTATATAAAAATTTGGATTTAGATTTATCAGACAATATATCTGTCACGGTTTCCCCTGGTCCTGTCCCGCACTACACTTCCCAGCATTCCCCTGGATCCTCACCTGCACGCACTCTCCCTGATTGTTATCACCTGCACCTCGTCTCCTCATGATCGCCACTCATGCTGCATAAAAGCCTCAGTCACCCTACACTCCTGGTCCGATCTCGTCAATTCTGGTCCCTGGTTCCCGAGTAATCTTCAAGAGACATTTCTGGTATTTTTGGTATTCCTAAGTATCTTCTGAGCATTGGTTTTACCTTTTATTTTGGAGTCTGCATACCGTGTATAAATAAAGCCTAAGTTCATTTTACCTGTTCCTGAGCGTTGTGTGACAATATCAGTTATCGGCTTTCAAATATAAAGAATTATCGGCCAAAATGTGAATATCGGCACATCCCTAAAATTAATCCATGTGACTCCAGTGGTTTAACCTCAATTTGATGAAGCGACATAAGGGCTTTGTTTACTCAAAAAAACAGTTCACCGCTTTATTAACAAAATATTTATCTCCATGCACACATTCACGCAACAACATCTGCTCTCTCGTCAACAACACGCATGTGTTGTGGTGCTCTCATGCGTTCCAAAGAATGAAAGTCTTACAGGTTTAGAACGACATGAGGGTAATTAATGACAAGATTTTCATTTTGGGGTTAACTTTCCCTTTAACCACATAAAGTAGCGCTACACTCTTAAATATAAAGGCTCTGTATAGACATCTAAGGTTCTACAAAGAACCTTTAACATGCATGGAATCTTTCCATTCCACAAGAGGTTCTTCATAGTGTGTTTTACAAATGGTTTACAAACGGTCTTTCAGTTTTTCCTTCACATTTTCCAAAATGTTCACTGAAGGGTTCTTTGAGGAACTAAAAATATTTCTTCTATGGAATCGCTGTGAAAACCTTCTTTTGGAAGCTTTATTGTTAAGAGTGTGGATGCAGTACCTGCTGTTCTGTTTCTCATGTTAGATTTCAGATCCTTCAGAGCGTTCATAACTCTGTCCTCTAGAACACAAGAAAACACACCAGACCTTGTTAGACTTTCTGCAGTCAGTGTCCTGTGAATTTCATTTCAATCCAATTATTTCCAATGTAAAGAATAATGGCAGTATCAGCATGCAGGTCCATGAAATCAACAATTATGATTATATATTTCTGAAATCATGCCTAACAAAAGATATCAATTCAATAGATTCAGTTATACATTCATAATGCAGTTATTGCAATATTGTACTCGACTCACCAGAGATCTGTTGTTTAGAGGACAGAGATGCGACAGATGAAGTGAGATCTGACACTGAACTCTTCAGGACACTTAATGAGCTCGACAGAGACTCTTTAGCACGAGATGAAAGACATAAATATGATATCTCAGCAATGTCGTTTCAGTGATGTTTTTATTGAGACGGGCTTGAATTATATTATGCAAGCCTATAACTTCATATAATTATTTTTTTGTATGTTTCTGACTCACCGAAGTCTCGTTGTTTGCTCTGTTGGTCAGACTGTATGGAGGACTTCAAACTGTCCAGCGATCGTTCGGTTTCAGTCTGTTTCTGATCCTGCGTTTTAACTGGGAGAAAAAAGTTGCAGTTACTAGAATTATCTTCCTCAATACACAGATAATAAGAAATATGCAAGATTATTAAATGATTTCATCACCTGCATCATTCAGTTTGGATGTCAACGTCGATACTGCAGAATTCAAACTGTCAGTCAAGCTCTTCATATCCTGCTGCCGCACTGTGGGAAAGTATATGTTGCATTTAGATGTTGAATATAGTAGACTTATGTAATAATAGTAGCAGGTAACCTGCTGACTTACTGCTAAATACTTTTGTTTTGGTGTCCTTTGGGGATTTCAAACACCCCACTCCATAATTCATGCCCTGTTTGTAGTGTAATGGAGTGCTGTATGTATTGCTCATGTAATGTAGTGTCTACTCACTGACTGATAGTTGAGAAGAAAGCGATGCGACAGATGAAGTGAGATCTGACACTGAACTCTTCAGGACACTCATTGAGCTCGACAAAGACTCTTAAACATAAGACAAAAGCCATAAATACAATATACTGGATCAGCAAGATCACTGAGTGCATGCAATAATGGCTTCGTAAATAAGTCAAGTCAAGTATATTTGTATAGCGCTTTTCACAATACAGATTGTATCAAAGCAGCTTCACAGTATTAAGTTAAAATAATAATAAACGTCCACATTTGGTAATGCTGATCAATAGTATTATTAATTGATTAAATTAAATTGAATATCCCCAAATGAGCAAGCCAATGGCAACAATGGCAAGGAACCGAAAAACTCCATCAGGTGACCTAATGGAGAGAAAAAAAACCTTGGGAGAACCCAGGCTCAGTCGGGGCCAGTTCTCCTCTGGCAATTATGAACTAGAGGCCGTATTTAACTGTAAGATTAAAAATATTATATGAATGCCTGGCTAAAGAGATGCGTCTTTAATCTAGTTTTGAACTGGGAGAGCGAGTCTGAGCAACGAACAGTATCAGGAAGGCTATTCCAGAGTTTTGGAGCTAAATGTGAAAATGCTCTCCCTCCTTTGGTGGATCTGGATATCCCAGGTATAACCAAAAGCCTTGAATTTAGTGATCTCAAAGAGCGCGATGGATTATAGGGCGATAGAAGATCCGTTAAATAGACTGGAGCTAAGCCGTTTAGGGCTTTATAAGTCAGTAGCAATACCTTATAATTAATACGGAACTTTATAGGTAACCGATGTAGTGATGATAAAATCGGTGTTATATGATCATAATTTCTTGATCTAGTAAGAACTCTAGCGGCTGCATTTTGGACTAACTGTAGCTTATTTATTGAAGATGCAGGACAACCAGCTAATAAAGCATTACAGTAGTCTAGTCTCGAGGTCATGAATGCATGAACTAACTTTTCTGCATCAGAAACTGATAGCATATTACGTAGCTTAGCAATGTTTCTAAGGTGGAAAAAGGCTGTTTTTGTAAATAAGAAAATATAAAAATGCATAAGCAACATCTGCTAATACCAGTTTTGTCTTAGACAAGAACTTAGCATACTATGGAAGTTTGTTTCCGCCACAGAATAAAACATTTTAAAAGATTATTGCGACTTTTTATCGCACAATTGCGAGTTTATATCTCACAATTCTGTCTTTATTTCTCAGAATTGCGAGATATAAAGTCAGAATTGCGAGATATAAATTTGCAATAAGATATAAACTCGCAATTCTGACTTTTGTTCTCGCAATTGCAAGTTTATATCTTGCAATTCTGACTTTATAACACGCAATTGCAAAAAGTCAAAATTGGCATCTAAATGAAATGAGTCCTGCTATTACAGTCAGAAATACACAGTTGTGTCCTGGTAGAAAAAGAAAAAAAGAAGCAACAGATGATGTAGTTCACAGAATGAAGATGATGAAGATCAATGCTAACTTTCATTAATAAACACAAGATAATACATAGATGAAGGCACAGAGAATGATCACATAAACTACTCACACTACAGACGAGAACCGACAATGAACTGAATGAGACAGGGAGTATAAATACACAGTGAAACTTAATGACAGACAGCTGAACATAATCAGTAACAAAGGAGACGAACTGGGAGGTAATTGAGGGGCTGTTTACACGACACTGTTCTCTTACGAGAGTATCTCTTGTACTGCGTAATATCTTACGCTATGGGGAAAACCTCTTTTCCACGAGATATTGAAGCCAAAAATTATCCTTAATTTTTAATCAATGTAAAACGCTTTGCGGCAACATGCAGACATAGGCGACGCAGCTCGCGCGCCTATTGGCTGCCCTGCGGCAAAAGCAGCAGCCTATCGAGAACGGCTCTGCGTGACGTCATGACCAATGGGGGCACTTCGCGCCCACTTCGTCACGTCACGCCAGAAAAGGCGTGGTCTTGCCCTATAAAGCCGGTCGACAGGCTGATACAAACTGATTTTCATCTCTTCAGCGAAGCTCACGCATCGCTGGATCCAGACTGAGAAGCCGCGCCGTCGACGCAAGCCTTCAGCGGGACGAGCCCTCGAGTCTGAAGTTGCTGGCCTTCACCTCGCCGCCTTCAGCCGCCGTACCTGCTGCGCTTTCCGGCGTCTATATCCTTTACTCTGCTGAGAGTGTTTGTTCGCCGCTGCAACTCACACTTCTCCTAAACTCTAAAAGAGCTGCGTCTTTTTCAAGATGCCTTCCTGTGGCTCGTGCCGAGCCCAACTCAGCGACGGGGACCGCCATGTCATCTGCATGTCCTGCCTGGGTGAAGATCACGTGGCTCTCGCGCTCGCCGACGGCGGATGCCATCATTGCGAGCTGCTGCCCATGGTGACTCTGAGGACTCGCCTGGCATCCTTCTCAGAGCCTGCACTTCTGCCCGCTGTGGTACCGCGCCGCAAGAAGCGCCGTGCTCAGCGCGCCCCCGAGCTCTCTCCTGCCCGCCAAAGCTCGCCGGTTCGCCTGCCAGCTTCGCCGGCATCGCTCGAGTCGCTCACGGATGGACAACGGACGCCATCTGCCGCCGCGTCCGCCCTTGAGCTTGACGAACCTACCGGGGCATGTTCTCTTCTGGCATCGGACAGTGAGGATTGGGCGAGCTCTGTGGACCTCCCCCCCGCTACCCGCCAGCCCTCTGGGAGACGAGCCGGCATTGAAGCTGAGCTGATGCGTCTGCTCTCTCAAGCCGTGGATACCATCGGCCTCGACTGGGAGGCGCCCGCGCCACCACCGTGCAACAGGCTTGATGATCGCTTTCTCGGGAAAGACGAAGCCCCGTCACGGTCGAGATCCCTGCCCTTCCTCCCTGAACTTCACAAGGAAGTCGCAAAGTCGTGAAACGCCCCCTTCTCCGCCAGGCTGCGTACCTCTGTCTCTGCTGCATTCTCCACTGTGGACGGTGCGAAAGATAGAGGATACCTTTCTATTCCTCCTGTGGAAGCAGCTGTAGCGTCCCATCTTTGCCCGCCCTCCGCTGGACGGCGTGCTCAGACTGCGCTACCATCTAAAGCCTGCCGAGTGACGTCAGCCATGCACGGACGCGCCTACACCGCCGCCGGGCAAGCAGTTTCAGCACTGCACACGATGGCTGTCCTGCAAATCTTCCAAGCCGACCTTCTCCAAAAATTGGAAGAGGAAGGACCGGGAGCGATCTGCGTGGCGGACTTAAGAAGCGCTACAGACTTCGCTCTACGCGCTGCAAAAGCCGCCGCACAGGCCGTTGGGTGGAATATGGCCTCTCTCACCATGGCTGAGAGACATTTGTGGCTGACGCTGTCCGAGATGACGGAAGCTGAGCGCTCCGTGTTCCTCGACGCGCCCATTTCACCAGCGGGCCTTTCGCGGACAGATTCGCCGAGGTGCAGAAAACGTCGCAGGCTATGAAGCACTTCCTGCCGAAGCGCTCGAGCTCCGCTACGGGCCGCCCGAAACAACCGTCTGCCCGAAGCTCTCAGCCGCAGCCTGCACCACCCGCCGCCGCCGCTTCACAGCGCCGCCAGGCCCGAGACCAAAGACCGCGCTCTCGCTCTGCTGGACGCCGCCCCCCTCAGCGCGGGCCCCGGCCGAGGATCCCAAGCCCGAGGTCTCAAAGTCAAGTCAAGTCAAGTCACATTTATTTATATAGCGCTTTTCACAATACAGATTGCATCAAAGCAGCTTCACAGTGATAACATGAAAGTAGTACAACACAGTTCAATAATATTGTCAAAGTCTTCCTAGCCTTCCTAGGAAAGCGACGGTGTTCAAATCCCGCTGCGGCCGGGTTTTCACCAAAACTTCTAGCTCGTCCAGTTCCAAGCAATGTGACTGTTCCAGTGTATTTTGTAGTGAGCAAGCCAGCTACACACCCCGCTTGCCTGCACACAAAGGCCGTTTTTACGGCTACCCAGATAAATCCAATAAAGAGTGCATTTTCTGGTGTTCCGGCCACGGCCGATGGTGTTATGAGTGTTGTAAGAATGCCCACGTTCCAGTGCCCATTCCCACACCCAGACACAGCCCGCCACAGTACAGGGCTAGCACAAATAAAATCGACTCATGTCGATTGTGCAAAAAATGTAGTGAACGTGCCCATATCACAGTGCCCGCTTACACTACACGATGCGTGTCCCTTGGTTTCTGTAAAAACGAAACTAACACACATTCAGTCGGCGCGAGCCGACAGTGTTCAGTAAATGTGCCCGCCATCCCGCGCCCACATTCTCTCACAAACACGCTGAATCCCACGGGGTTTGCCCCGCTCGCTTTCTCTGCACTACTAGTCATAGAGAAACTGAGCGCGGCCAGGCTGCCCGCTGTGATCAGCGCGCCCCCCGCCTCACACGCTGTGAACACAGCGTTGAGTTCTCAGCACACCGAGGCTCTCGAGCCGTCGTCATGCCGCGGCAAGAGCCCAGATTTCATTCTACCTCTAGCTATTCACGCAGATGCGTGGTCAAAGCTCCCCGGGGTATCAGAATGGGTGCTGAACACTATAAAGAGAGGCTATTCGCTACAATTCGCTCGACGTCCCCGCCGTTATACGGCGCGCGTCGAAACAACGGTGAAAAACGAAGTATCTCATCTACTTCGAGCCAAGATAGCGAAACTACTAAGCAAAGGGGCTATAGAACCTTTATCTCAGAGCGAAGGGGGCCTATACAGCAGATATTTTCTGGTACCGAAAAAAGATGGAGGTCTCAGACCCATTTTAGATCTGCGACAGCTGAACAGAGCACTTGTGAAGCGCCAGTTCAAAATGCTTACAACCAGGAAAATCCTCGCGCAAGTTTGCCAAGAGGACTGGTTTATGTCAATAGATCTGAAAGACGCCAATTTCCAGATACAAATAGCGTCCCATCACAGGCGATTCTTTAGATTCGCCTTCGAGGGCCAGGCATATCAATACAGAGTCCTGCCGTTCAGCCTGTTCCTAGCACCCCGTACATTCACGAAGTGCATGGACGTGGCTCTCGCACCCCTGAGACTTCGGGGCATGCGAGTTTTGAACTACTTGGACGATTGGCTGATTCTAGATCGATCACACTCAGAGCTCATAGAACACAGGGCCACATTACTCGAGCACCTCGAGAATCTGGGCCTCACAGTCAATTGGGCGAAAAGCTCACTGTCCCCCAGTCAGAAAATGTATTTTCTGGGAACAGTGCTGGACTCGCTATCCATGACAGCACGCCTGTCACCGGAGCGCGGACTAGACATTCAGCGCGTCGCAAAATCCTTCCGCCACGGCTCTATAGTCCCGCTCAAAAGGTTTCAGAAAATGCTGGGCCTGATGGCCTCAGCAGCCTCTGTACTCCAGCTGGGCCTGCTTCGCATGCGCCCGCTGCAGATGTGGCTGAAAGCGCGAGTTCCGCCCCGGGCATGGACCGCTGGTCTGTTTCGCCTCAGGGTCGATCTAAAGTGCGTTTCAGCTCTGGAACCTTGGAAAGTAACCGACTGGTATCAGTCAGGTGTGAGTCTGGGGACCTCCTCGAGTGTGCAGGTGGTGTCTACGGACGCCTCCACCTCGGGATGGGGAGCGCTGCTCAAGGGCAGACCGTTCGCTGGCCTGTGGTCAGAACGGGAAAAGCTCCTTCACATAAACTGCTTGGTAATGATAGCAGTCGACAAAGCGCTACGGTGCTTCTGTCCCCAGATAAAAGGTCACCACGTCTTGGTCCGGTCGGACAACATGTCAGTGGTGGCATAAATAAATCGCTAGGGCGACGTCAGGTCCCGAAACCTTTACAGGTTGACGGAACGCCTTCTGGTCTGGGCTCAGCACATCCTGCTCTCGCTGAGAGCAGCGCATGTGCATGGTCACCTAAATGTGGGACCAGACAGACTGTCCAGAAACAATGTCCCAGCAGGGGAATGGTCGCTGCACCCGCAGACGATCCAGCTGCTGTGGGAAACGTTCGGCAGAGCGCAGGTGGACCTGTTCGCGTCCCACAAAACGCTCATTGTCCGAACTTTTTCTCGAAAAGCAAAGACGCGCTGGCCCACGTCTGGCCCCGCGTTCCCCTATATGCTTTTCCCCGTCTCGCTCCTGCCTCAAGTGTTGGAACGAATCAGGGAAAACGGATGCCCAGTGCTGCTCGTGGCTCCGCTCTGGACAAACAAAACCTGGTTCCCAGTCCTGATGCAGCTGGCCAGCACTGCCCCGTGGCCTGTACCACTGAGGAGAGACCTCCTCTCTCAGGCAGGGGGCTCGATTTGGCATCCTCACCCGGACCTGTGGTCCCTGCACGCATGGGCCATCAACGGGTACCCGCTCACCTCCCGAAGGGAGTGTTAAACACAATCACGCAGGCTAGAGCTCCGTCTACTAGACGGCTCTACTCCTCGAAATGGTCTGTGTTCTCTGCTTGGTGTCAAGCTCAGGGCTTTTGCGGGGTTACGGAAGTGCTTTCCTTCCTACAAGAGCTGCTGGATAAGGGCAGAACCCCATCCACGCTCAAAGTATACGTGGCGGCCATAGCAACGTTTGCAAAACCGGTGTCTGGCCAGTCACTGGGAAAGAACGACTTAGTCGTGCGTTTCCTCAGGGGAGCTCGGAGATTGAACCCTCCCAGGCCCCCTTCAGTCCCGATGTGGGACCTTTCCACGGTTCTGGAAGCCATGAAAGGTGCCCCGTTCGAGCCAATCCATTTGTCAGACATGAAGCACCTGTCTTTCAAAACAGTGTTTCTTATTACAGTGTTTTCGCGAGTCTCCTTTGCCCTGTCAGGGCACTAAGAGCTTATGTGTCCCGCTCGTCTGGTTTTAGACAGACTGAGCAGCATTTCGTTTTGTTTGGCGGACGTTCTAAGGGACTTGCCGCATCAAAACAGAGCCTATCCAGATGGATAGTCGATGCCATAGCGCTGGCTTACACCTCTAAGGGCCTGCAGTGCCCCTTGGGTGTCAGAGCGCACTCCACGAGAGGCATGGCCTCTTCGTGGGCATGGTCTAGCGGGATTACCATGCAAGATATCTGTACGGCTGCGGGCTGGGCCTCGCCGTCTACATTTATAAAATACTATAACCTGGAGGTCCCCCACCTTACAAGCTAAGCTTTTGGCGGTCTAGAATTCAGTGCTATCTGCCCCGCTGTGCCGGCCCAGATGCTGAGTTTGGCTTGCGTATCGCTCACTGACCGATGCAGCAGCTCCACGAGTGTTGACACACGTATGGCGATCCAGTTTAGGCTGAAAGCTTTCGCCCTGGCTGCGTGATATAATATTTATATGATTAGCTCCTCTGGATGCTACTTCATAAGGAATGACGCTTCTAGCCCCTCTTCCTTCACTCTCAGTGAGTCTATGGTGATTATGCACTACATGCGCCCCGGGCTTCTGCCCTTGGGTCTTTGGTGTTGGATCCCTGTACGCACGGCGTGTTGCACTGTGTTCCCCATAGCGTAAGATATTACGCAGTACGAGAGATACTCTCGTAAGAGAACGTACTCGGTTACTAACGTAACCTCTGTTTTCTCTAGAGAGGGAACGAGTACTGCGTATCTTGCCGTGCTTAAAATGCGCTCTGGTTCGCTTCGGCGATGAAAACCAGTTTGTATCAGCCTGTCGACCGGCTTTATAGGGCAAGACCACGCCTTTTCTGGCGGGACGTGACGAAGTGGGCGCGAAGTGCCCCCATTGGTCATGACGTCATGCAGAGCCGTTCTCGATAGGCTGCTGCTTTTGCCGCAGGGCAGCCAATAGGCGCGCGAGCTGCCTCGCCTATGTCTGCATGTTGCCGCAAAGCGTTTTACATTGATTAAAAATTAAGGATAATTTTTGGCTTCAATATCTCGTGGAAAAGAGGTTTTCCCCATAGCGTAAGTAATTAAGCAGTACTCGTTCCCTCTCTAGAGAGAACAGAGGTTACGTTAGTAACCGAGTACGTTTTAAACTAAAAACTTTTTATGCGTTTTGGCCGTTCGTTTACACGACAACAGCATTTTGGGTGCCTGAAAAAGCAAACTTTTGAAAATGGGT